ACCACATTTTTTAATCCAGTCCTCTTTTGATGGGCAGCATGGTTGTTTCCAGGTTCTTGCTATTGTGAACAACGCTGCGATAAACATCCGTGTACAGGTATCTTTTTTATAGAGTGATTTGAGTTCTTCAGGGTATATTCCCAGTAGGGGGATTGCGGAGTCATATGGGAGGTTGATATTTAGAGCTTTTAGGAATCGCCACACTGCTTTCCACAGAGGTTGCACTAGTTTACACTCCCACCAACAGTGAAAGTTTTATAGTTTTATGTTATATGTTTAGATCTATGATTCACCTTGAGTTAATTTTTGTATAAGGTGTGAGGTTTGGTTGAGGGTCTTTTTTTTGAGTTGGAGTCTCACTCTGTTGCCCGGACTGGAGTGCAGTAGCTGCTTCCGGCCACCGCAGCCTCGACCTGCTGGGCTACAGCGATCCTTCCGCCTCAGCCTTCCAAGTTGTTGGAGCTAGAGTCGCACACTACCACGCCCGGCTAATTTTTTTTATTTATTGTAGAGATGAGGTCTCGCCAAGTTGCCCAGGTGGGTCTCGAACCCGCGGGCTCAGGCAATTCACATACCTCAGTCTCCCAAAGTGCAGGATTACAGGCTGAGCCACCAAGCCCGGCGGTTGAGGGTCTTATATGTATGGGTGCATGATGATTTCAGCACCATTTGGACTATCATTTTAATATTTTTTTCTATTGAATTGCCTTGCCTTCTTGTCAAAAATTAATTGGCTATATTTATGTGAGTTATTTTCTGGACTCTAATCTGTTTTATCGATTTATGTGTCCTTCCATATGCTGCTACCACACTGTCTTGATTACTGTAGATATCCAGTAAGCCTTAAAATCAGATAATGTTATATCTACAATTGTATTCTTCTTCAAAATCATTTTAGTTCTTTTTATTCCTTTGTTTTTCACGTGAATTTTATATTCCACTTCTCTGTGAATGCAAAAAAGTTCTGTTGGGATATTAATTAGAATTGCATTACATCTATATATCAGTTTAAGAATAATTGACATCTTTATTACATTATTTCTTTCAATCCATGAGCATTGTTTATATCTCTTTTTTTAGACCTTTTTTGTTGTCTTTCATCTGTGTTTTATGATTTTTAGGATACAGAGTCTGTATGTTAGACTTATATCTAAGGATTTAATTTTGTTTTGAATATACATATATATATTTATATATATATATAAATATATATATATTCTGGTGTCCAATATTACATTGCTACTATATAGAAATATGCTTGAATTTTATGTGTTGACATATTCTACCACCTTGATTGCACTCAGTTGTTATTTTTAAGAGGTTGTTTTTGGTCAATTCCTTGAGATTTTCTGTGTACACAGTCATGTTGCATGCAAATAATACACATAGGGAGTTTTCTTTCTTTCCAATATTTATGCCTTTTATTCGTTTACTTTTGCCTTATTGCATTGGCTAGTGTGTCCATTATGATGTTGAATAGGTGGTGAGAGAAGATGTCTTAAATTGTTACCAGTCTTAGGGTGAAAACATTTATATTTTCACTATTAAGTATGATTTTTTTTTTTGTGGTTGGTATTTGTTATTTTGGAGATGCTCTTTATCAGATTGAGAAAGTTTGCTTAGTATACTTGCATTCACAGTTTGCTGAGTTTCTTTAAAAGATTTTTAGAAAGGTCAAAACATTCTTTTTTAATTTTTTTTTAATTTTAAAGATGTGGGATACAATTCAGGGTTAGGTATACAAATGTTCATTATGCAGGTACCCTTGTTGATGAGGTATGCCCCCCTTTCCCCAGGCAGATTCCCACTACTGCCAATCCCGCTTTCCTGCTCCCCTTCCAGCAGT